AAACTACAGCAACTGCCTCCGGTATACACTGGTAAATGGGCCAGTGCAAGTGACGAGGAAGTGCAAGAAGAGCTGGAAAAGGGGATCCCTTACACATACCGATTTCGTGTTCCAAAAGGAAGTTTAAAAATTAATGATCTCATCAGAGGTGAAGTGAGTTTTGTCATCCATTTTTCATCATTGTCTACTTATTAGTTCCGTTAAACTAAATGCCAAATTCTATGCTTGTGTTGATGAATTATGGATTGCCAACTTTAAAACAGGCAAATGATAACACTTATTGGTGCATCTGATTTGTGTGGTTGCTGATTTTTTCCTTTTGTATTTTGATATTGGTATGCCCCATTGCATAATTTTCCATAATACTTTATCTTATATTTTGCACGTTTTTCCCCTAGAAGTGAGGTTTCAGACTGTCTTAAAAATTGGATTCTCATACATGAAAAAAAGTGCTAGTCTTTACTGTTGTGTAGACAAATTATGATAGAAAGAGAAGGACAAATTTCTGACATGTCTATTAGTAGAACTCTGACTAGGTATTAACTTTGGTAGTGTCTTGAAGGTTAGTTGGAATTTGGATACCCTTGGAGATTTTGTGATCATGAGAAGCAACGGTCAGCCTGTTTACAATTTTTGTGTAACGGTGGATGATGCAACCATGGCTATTTCCCACGTTATCAGGTAGTTATTTTAATTTGACTAAATCACATTTTAGTGCCTGAAAAATATCACTGATTAGAATGTCCTGAGTAGAGAGTAGTTTATAGTTTAGTCCCCAATTTTATTTATTTGGAATCAATACAGTCCATTGTTAGATCAAAAAAGGACTATGCTGCACCAAAATCAAGAAAATTGAGGAATCAACTGTGCATTATATATATATATTAGGGGAAACTTAGGACTGAGACTTTTTAGGGATCAAATTAAGAATTTAATCTGAAAATTTCTTAGTCAATTATTTTTTGTTATCCCTGATATGTTTCAGCTATCAATGGCAATTCCATTTTTCAATATGATTATTTGATCGCTGTTAATTCCATGAAACTTTTGAGAATGCAGGGCGGAGGAACATTTACCAAACACACTGAGGCAGGCGTTAATATACAAGGCAAGTACACGCCCTATAGTTGTTCTTTCATAGAAGATATTTTGTCTAAAATTTTACATATTCTGCAATGTTTTCTTTCTGAAATATTTAGCCAACCCCAGATTAAATGAGGTTAATTGGTATATTTCTTTTGAATACGAAAAGGCTAGATCCACATATATAGGTAAGTCTTTGATCCAAGTTCTATTAGAGGGAACTAAGCAAGTATCTCATTCAATAGCTCTCACGACCGGGAGAATCTCTGCAAATAGAACTCTGATTAATCAAAAGTGAGTCTGTACATCATAACTACCACCTTCAGATACATAGACAATAAAAATATAACTATCCCTCCAAATAACATCCTACTATTAAGTGCCAACATGATCTAGGAATAACTGTAACCTCATTCTCCATGTTGCAGCTCTGTGCTCTCCGCTCCCTCATGCTGCAACTCTCTCCCTGCTGAAGTGGAGGTTGACAAGGAATATGTTCTAACGTGATACTCCTAGAATAAGTAAGCAATGGACGCCTATCAGGTTGATAGACTACACATAAATCATGAGAAAGTAGAATGTCTCCAAACAGTCACTTTGGTTTTATTCTTAGACTAAGCTTAAATTTTTGGTTTTATAAAAAAAGAATTGTAACTATAAAATATTTAAATTTAACACAAACAACAGAGGGCGTATTCAGTATCTGTTCTTGAGAAAACTTTTTTGTTACTGAAAACCCAAAAGTTTTATTGAGCCCAGTTGTGCTTGCCCCAAATCAATTCAAAATATTTAATTATTTGGGCTGTAACCCAAAATCTGATCAAATGTTTTTTTTATTGTTACTTTCTTTAAAAAAAGCAGTCTTTTGTTTTATTTATTTACTTTTTTCTGGATGACAGTGGAACTTACAGATGGATAAGAAAGATACATATGAAGAGATTTGGCATTCTCAAAATAAAACAAGTTTGGGATAGAAACAAGTTAAATTGAAAAAGAAAGTAACATACAGCTAAAACGCTCAGCATATCCAATAGGAACACTGCCCATAGAGACTGCTTTAGTCGATTGCTTCAGTGAAGCTGCAAATAGAAACCCTTGTCCAGAGGTCATACAATGGAGCACTTCGAAAAAATAAGCATCCCCAGCTCTAGCCATACATTACAAATTCATGAACTGCTTATTGCCACAAGGTTCCTCCATCCTTTTTACTCCCTGTGTAAGGAGAAACTGGTCTAAGTCCTGTAAACATAACCAGTTCTCACCAAGAATGCCGAACAACTTAATTCCACAAGAAAACGGCCAGTTGACACTGTTGAATGAGCTGCAGTGCACTATGCACGACTATTATACTTGGGTTCACAAATTGCAATATGCCATTTATGTTAATTATTGACTATTGATTGCTGTTGTCCAATTAAAAAATTTGTCTTTTGGTGTGGCTTTTAAATTTTGAGAGGGTTTTTTTTTTTAAATTGGAACACCATCATAGGAGAAGGGATAATGAAATGAAAGCAAGATTTACTAGAATATACACTGGCAAAATCTAAATTCAAAATTCTTAAATTGGGTATGCTGTGGAGAGGCAAAAATATTTCTAATTTATTCATAACAGGGACAATGAAATGAAAGCAAGATTTACTAGAATATACACCAGCAAAATCTGAAGTCAAAATTCTTAAATTGGTTACACTGTCAAGAGGCAAAAATATTTCTAATTTATTCATAACTCTTCCTGTAAGATGGCTTGCAAACTGATAGTTGCCAAAAAACAAGAAATCCTGCATTAAACAGAACCAAAATACATACTCCCTCTGCCTCATTTACTGAGATTTTTTTTTTGATAAAATTGCAAATACCAATAAAGTCAATCAAATTTAGTTTGGAATCTTAATTTGTCCCAAAAAAAATATAAACTTTCAAAACTACCATTTATTTGGTATGGGAGAGAGAAGAAATATATTTAAGGAGTGAAATAATGAGGGGTAATTTTGGAATGAGCTCAATTAGCAAATCATAATTTTTGTCAAAGCATATTATATTTTGGGACATCAAATCACTCCAAGAAACATCTTATAAAATAGGGTGGAGGGAGTATATAATTAACACAGAAGGCACTGTAGATTTATTGTTTTACCCTATTTGCATGCAATTTTTAGAATAAACTTTACGCCCCACACAGATTAAGCCTAGTTAAACAGAAATAATAAACTGCAGCATCATACAAAGATATCTTTTTTTTGTTTTTTTTTTAAATAAAACAGCACACAGCTTTAGACGCCAAAATATTAGAAATGGTGGAAGGTCCTAGCATTAGAATAACATGTGAAATTAACCGGGGTGTAATTTATTTGTGCATGAATGATTTTTGCAGGCACTAGGATTCAGCATGCCTCACTTTGCACATGTCTCTCTTATTCTAGCTCCTGATCGTAGTAAATTATCAAAACGACATGGTGCAACATCAGTCGGTCAGGTGTGTTGATCATTTCCATATTTTATATGCATTCAATTATTTGTGAGGTCTCTGTTGATTGGTTTCCTTAATTTTCTTAGTTTATTCTCCAAAAGCTTCTTCTATGATATGGATTATGTTTGTGAAAATCTAATATCTGCTCACAGTTCAGGGAGATGGGATACCTACCTCAAGCAATGGTGAATTACTTGGCCTTGTTAGGTTGGGGTGATGGAACGGAAGATGAATTTTTCACCATCGAGAAACTTGGTTAGTGAATTGTTTGAATTATACTCATGTATTAGTTGTACTAAACTACTGCTCAAACAATTTATTACTTGGGATTGATTTCATGTGTCAGTTGAAAAATTCACAATTGAGCGTGTTAACAAAAGTGGTGCTATATTTGATTCCACTAAGTTAAGGTAATTGCCTTTTTTCCTACTGGATGGGGTTTTAAATCTTGTTCCCTTTAATTTCTTATTATACACTAATTTGTATTTTGTGCCATCCATATTTCCATCATTTATTCCTGATGATGTCATGAGGATCTAGGTTGAATGCCATTTAAGTGTGATACTCATATGTTTTGAGTTTTGGATTCTGGGGAAATATATGATTCTACCATTCATTTTCACTTAACTCTTTATTGGCAACCTCAAACAACAAATTAACTAATTGTCTTCTAATTTTTCGTTGTATTCTTATGTGTATGGATATAATCTTTCAAAAACAGATGGATGAATGGTCAGCATTTAAGAGCCATTCCATCTGAAGAGTTGACTAATCTAATTGGAGAGCGCTGGAAGGCTTCAGGAATACTAGCTCTATCTGCAGGGCCCTTCATTGATGTGAGACTCTTTACTTGACTGGTTCATTTTCCGTTATAGATAGCATGAGCTTTTTTTCATTTTGAGGAATACTATATTCAGTTTAGTGCACCGAAGGCATGTCATTACTCCAAATGGCTGACCAACATGATATTGGTTACATGTTTAACTTACAGGAAGCGGTCCAGCTACTCAAGGATGGAATTGATTTGATAGTTGATGCAGACGAAGCACTTAATAACTTGCTATCTTTTCCCTTGCATTCTACTTTACAGAGGTGAAGTCTATATTCTTTTCAGGGAATCTTTTGTCTTTTTCTGTTTGTCATTAACCTCAACCTCTGATAAAATAACCAAGATTGGTTACGCACTTGTCAATTTTTGGCTGTGCCACCCATAAGTGCTTTGACTGTTAAGCTCATTGCAGTTTGTAGCAAGGTTACCTCATCCTTTTACATATGGCCTGCAGTGATGAAGCTAAATCTATCTTAGAAGATAAGCTTTCTGAATTTTCAGCCAACCTCTTGGCTGCCTATGATAGTGGTGAAGTCATGGCCGCACTTGAAGAAGGTCATGCTGGCTGGCAGAAGTGGGTGAAGGGTTTTGGCAAATCACTTGAACGCAAGGTGAGCTAAATTATATATCCACGTGTCACTGAAATGTTTTTAATAATGTCTGTTTTGCAGTATTCTTACTTAAATTAAAAGATATAAAAACTGTGAAATAGGATAAATTAGAGATTAATTATTATTTATTTCTCCTGATTTATAGGGATGTATTAGCCAAGAACATGGGGGGTAAATAAGGGATTTGATCTGATTTTATTTTTTCCCTTTATAACTGATACATGTACACTGTATATATTACACATATTGCTATGAGATACTTGACTATTTTGATCCAAAAAGCCTACATGGTATCAAAGCCAGATTTTGCCTGGCACCTGTAAGCTAGTTATTGTAGACACGTTTGAAGCGCAAAATGGGATTAGCCTTGATTGTAATAGGGACTTGTGTGTACCACACCGTTTGAAGCCTGAAAATTGGGCTGGCCCTAAAAAAAAAAACAATGGAACTTGGTGTTTGGGGCGTTTTTGATATGTAAAGCTTGTGGACTCATACTTGAGGGGGAGATTGTTAGGGTTATCTTATTCAAATGTGAATGGACATAAGACGATGTGGGAAGTCTCACATCGGATAAAGTTGGACTTATTAACTAATATATAATAAAGAGGAAGGATCCATAAACTTGACCCTTGAGGTTTTGAGTTAAGATACGACGTCTTTCCATTGTTCTTGCCTTTCTCTCCTCTTTTCCTGTTCCTAAGCAGTCGCTCCTCATTCCTAGCAAGTGGCATCAGAGCTCAGCAATTCTAACCTGGATGACTTAGAACGCAACGCTCAACGTGAGGAAAGAGCAAAGTCTAGCAACCCCAAAACCTCTTCTATAGGTCTCGGCGCTGAGATTCCTCCATTGCACACCCAAGGTGGAGCTCCCCACGGGTTGAGCTTTGCCATCGATAGGTCTTCTGTTCTGATTGTGTCCGAAAAGTTCAATGGGCAAAATTACCATGAATGGGCCTAGGTGATTAAACTCGCTGTCACAGGTTGTGGTGTGTTAGGCTTCATCACCGGTACCTTTATTGCTCTAGACAGGTCTAACGTTAAGGTCATGTTGAAGTGGGAGACTGAAAATGCGATGGTGGCTTCATGGTTGATCATAGCCATGCCCTCACAAGTTCAATGCTCATTTATGTTCTTACCGATGGTGAAAGATGTCTAGGATGTTGTTTGAGAATCATATTCGGATGGTGAGGATGGTGCTAGAATATATGATCTGAAGACAAGAAGTTCGCAGATCAAACAAGGTGATCGTGATCTCACAGAGTTCTGGTTGGAACTCGTTGCAATGTGGCAGGAGATTGATCTCAACATAGAAGAGAAGTGGTGTTATCCTTGTGATGCTGCAAGGTACAAAAAACATGTTGAGGATGAGTGGGTGTTTCAATTTTTGGCTGGTCTTCATTAGTCATTAGATGATGTTCGCAGCAGAATCTTAGCTCGCTCTCCATTACCCTTAACTCGTGATGCCTTTATTGAAGTTCGTAGAGAAGCTTCTTGTCGAAAGGTGATGCTTAATGACTCTCCTTTAGTTTCTTCTTCCTCTGAATCTTCTACTTTGGCAAGTAAAAGTCTTGATGATGGATTGAAGTAGACAAAAGGGAAGGTGTCATGTGATCACTATAAGAAAGCTGGAAATGCAAAGCACAAGTGTTGGGATCTCCTTGGGAAGCCTACTGACTGGAAACCATGCACAGGAAAGGCATGTGGGTACCAAGCTACTCCTGACAATACCTCAGACAAACCTAGTTCTATGGCCACTATCGATGGAGACCAATTAACTAAGCTCTTAGAGATGTTAAATAATCTACAATGATCAAAAGCTTCATCTTAGACTATACATAATGCTTCTGTGGCTAAGTAAGGTAATAGTAATTATGCTTTGAATGTATCTTTTCATAAATCCCAATGGATTGTTGATTTTGGTGCCTTAGATCATATGACTGCGAACTCCACTTTGTTCCCATCTTATTTTCCATGCAGTGGGCGTGAAAAAATTGTTACTACTAATGGAACTTCTGCTATTGCTGGAAAGGGAAGCATAAATTTTTACAATTACATTCAAATACTTCATGTTCCATATCTAGCTTGTAACTTATTGTCTATCAGCAAATTGAATGAGCAAGCCCATTGTAGTGCTCATTTTTTTCTACCCATTGCATTTTTCAGGATTTATCATTGGGGACGATGATTGGCAGTACTAAAGAATGTGACAGGCTCTTCTACCTTGATGAATCAACCATGATTAATCTTTGGTCTCGAATTCGGTGCAATCTTGTGTCCACTTCTGAGAATAATGATATTTTGTTATGGCATAAAAGAATGGGTCATCCCAATGTCCAGAATTTGAGTCATTTGTTTCCTCAATTTTCATCAAATAAAATTTCTAGTTTTCATTGCAACACTTGTGAATTGGCAAAACATCACCTTTCTTCTTTTTCGCGCTTTGATTGCAAAGCATCTAAACCATTTTCGATTATTCATAGTGATGTTTGAGGCCCTTTGCGTATTTCGAACCGAACTCAAGCTAAATGGTTCGTTACCTTTATAGATGATCATAGTTGTGCATGTTAGGTATATTTACTCAAAGAAAAATTTGAAGTGACCTCCATATTTATTGAATTCTATAGCATGATTTTCAATCAGTTTCACCCCTCAATACAAATTCTTCAATCCGATAATGGCACTGAATACCTAAACAAAAATGAGTGATTTTTTGAAAGCAAGAGGCATAGTTCATAAAATATCTTGTGCAAATAGCCCTCAACAAAATGGAATTTCCGAGCGGAAAAATAAACACTTACTTAAAGTTGCCCATGCCTTTGTTTACTACTTAGATGCCAAATTTTTTTTTGGGGTGATGCTATTCTAACTGCCACCTATCTTATCAACCATATGCCAAGCAAGGTCTTATCCTACATAACCCCTCCCATTATGAATATTTGGGTGTTTAGCCTTTGTTCATCTTAAATCCACATCCAAACTTGAACCTAGGGCTGTAAAATGTATGTTTATTAGATACTCTTTCTCTCAAAAAGGTTATAAATGTTTTGTCCCTTTTTCCAAACGTCTCTTTGTTAGTCATGATGTCACCTCCAAAAATGAGTCCTTCTATACTACTACTTCAATTCAGGGGGAGAACTGGAATGAATTTCACTCTCTTGTTCCCATTCTTTCATCTTTCCTTGAACCTGTGTCTATTTTGTTCATTCCAAAAGCAAAAGAAAATGCAGGTGTAGAGGACGAGGACATAAGTGCCCCAGAGAAAGAGCTCAAAGTATACAAACAAAGGGCGATGTAAGGGACTACACCTCTCATATTGAAGGCAGGCCCTTATTTAGACTCGGTGAAAGATTCTGCAAAGGGAAATGAGAATATCACGAAAATTGTAGATGATGATGTAGGGGAGAATTCAATTGCATTAGAAAGTGATTTGAACATGCCCATTACCCTCAAGAAGAAACCCCCAGTTTGTACACAACACGCAATTCAGAAACATGTGACATATGAAGCTTTATCTCCTGGTGATAAGAACTTAGAATAGTAGGGATTAGGAAGAGTAATCTACTAAGTTAGCTAGAGCAAGGATCTCACTCTAAATAACTTAACAGCCAAGTAGAAGAATCACCAGAGGAGTCACGGGTTTATTTCTTCATTCTTATCCTATTGTGTATGGGAGCTAGGATATTTAAAATAAAAGAGTGCAACTAAGTGATTCAAATAATGCAAGATACTAGCCTAAAAATTAGGAACTACTATGTAGGAACCTCCCTAACAACCTTGAGGTCCTATTATTTGGCAACTAATTCTTAAAACAGAATAACAATTCAAATAACAATTAAAATAACAGCAATAATTAATTTAAATCAGATAAATCCCTTAAAGCATGCATGACAGCATCAGTTTCAACTATCTTCCTCTTCTTTCTACGATGATAAGTTATTAGAGGTCTCCTCAACTGACTTGGATCCTTATCACCTGAGTATTAAGCCTTCATTGCAAAACATTGATAAGGTCGGTATCTTGAATAACATCCAAGAAGCCTTGAAATCCCCAGGATGGAGAGAAGCTGTCTTGGAGGAAATGAAAGCACTGGAAGAAAATGGGAGGTGGGAAGTTGTGAATAAACCAACGAACAAGAAGCTTGTGAGTTGTAAGTGGGTGTTCACCTTAAAGTACAATGCAGATGGGAATCTCGAAAAATTGAAGGCTCGATTGGTGGCTAGGGGATTCACACAGATATATGGTATCAACTATCAGGAAACCTTTGCACCTATGGCCATTAGGGTGCTGTTATTTATAGCAGCAACTCTTGATTGGCCATTACACCAGCTGGACATTAAGAATGCTTTTTTAAATGGAGATTTGAAAGAGGAAGTTTATATGACCTTGTCACTTAGCTTTGATAAAGGAAAAGGTGATAACGTATGTAGGCTAAAGAAATCCTTGTATGGGTTCAAACAGTGGCCTAAAGCGTGGTTTGATAGGTTCTCACAAGTCCTAAAGTCTCAGGGCTACAAACAAGCACTATCAGATCACGCCATGTTTGTCAAATTGGAGAGAGGTAAGAGATGTATTCTCATTGTGTATATTGATGATATAATTATCTTTGGTGAGCACAGTGAGGAAATAATGAAAATCAAGATTGGACTAAGTAAAGAATTCAAGGTCAAGGACCTTAAAGTTAAAATACGTCTTAGGAATGAAAGTTGCAAAATCAAAGAAGGGAATATATGTATCTCAAAGAAAATACATACTTGATCTCTTAAAAGAGACAAGAATGTTAGGGTGTAAACCTGTTGAAAGACCTATTTTGTTCCAAAGAAGAGGCAGGCATCTAGAACAACAGAATAACACTCCGATGAAGAAACTGAACTAGTTGAAGAAGATGAGGAGAAAGAGAAACCAGCTGATGAAGAGAGATATCAGAGGCTGGTACGAAAACTTATCTACCTCTCCCACACGACCTGATATAGCTTTCATAGTGAGTTTAGCTAGTCAGTATATGTGTGAGCCAAAGGACAAACACATGGACATGACATACAGGATCCTAAGTTATTTAAAGGGCACCCTTGGTAAGGGCTTGTTGTTCCAAAAACAAGAATGGAGAACCATAGAAGTATGCACTAATGCTAATTGGGGTGGACATCATTCAAATAGAAGATCTACTTTTGGTTATTCTTCATTTGTGTGGGGAAATCTAGTTACTTGAAAGAGTTAGAAGCAAAGAGTTGTCTCCAAAAGTAGTGCTGAATTTGAGTTAAGGGCTTTAGCTCAAGGTATAATGGAAGAAATATGATTAAAGAGGGTGCTAGAAGAAATCCATGTCAGGTTAGACCTACCACTGAAATTGTACTATGACAACAAGGCTGCCATAATTATGGGTTTAAACTCAGTATAGCATGAGAGTTCAAAACATGTAGAGATTGATAGACATTTTATCAAGGAGAAGGTACATGGGATTATTTGTTTGACTTTCCTCCTAACAAACTTTCAAACAGTAGATATGTTGACCAAGGGGTTACATAAACCCGCATTTGAGAATTGTATGAGTAAGTTGGACATGATTAGCATCTATGATTCAACTTAAGGGGAAGTGTGAAATAGGATAAATTAGAGATTAATTATTATTTATTACTCCTCATTCATAGGGATGTAATTAGCCAAGAATATGGGGGGGTAAATAAGGGATTTGATCTGATTTTATTTTTTTTCCTTTATAACTGATACATGTACACTGTATATATTACGCATATTGCTATGAGATACTCGACTATTCTGATCCAAAAAGCCTACAAAAACATCTTTTTCAATGCCCCTCATTTCATTATCTACTTAAGCTTCTTTGGAAACATGATATGTGCACTTCTAACATCTACCAACCTTTGCTAATGCTCTTTTTAGTCCTATTTATAAGACATTTTTAATCAAATCATTCTGATTGAGAAGGTTAAAATTAGTTCAGAGTCCTGATTTAAAAAAAAAATTATAGAAATCCCAAATTACCCTTGATTAAATTTAATAACCTTACCTTTAAATATTAAAGTCAAACATGCCATCTAAATGAACTTATTGGATATGTGGGAATTTTTGAAAACAACTCATTAATGCTTCTTCATCAAGTTTTATAAGGTGTCTTATATTAAAGACCAAGCAAATAATTAAGGATTAGATGGAGTAACTTTTAAAAGGTTACTGCTAAGTGCTCTCTCCATCCCACTTTATAAGACAATTTTAGGCAAAATTATACATACCAATAAAGCTTATTAAATACATTTTGTAACTTTATTTTTTCCGAAACAAAAATATAAATTCCAAAAAATACCCTTCATCTAATGAAACATTAGAGGGAGAGTATATGGTTGAAGGATAATATTGGAAAAGGATATTTAATGAAATCTTATTTTTGTCAAATTGTCTTGTATTTTGGGACACCAAATCACCTTCAAAATTGTCTTAAGTGGGATGGAGGTAGTATTAACTATTAACTAGTAACTATTGCATTTTATAATTTTATAATCCTAGTTACCGTTACAGTAATTATCATGTTTAATTACAACAGTAGAAAGTGTGAAAGAAATACAAGGGAGGTCACGAGCAAGTATAAATGAAATTATGTTCATTTGCAATTTTCAGGGAAAATCTCTTTTCATGCCTCTCCGACTCTTATTGACCGGAAAACTTCATGGACCAGACATGGGGGCTAGCATAATATTGCTCCATAAAGCAGGAGTGACTGGTATTGTGGCTCCAGAAGTTGGATTCGTTACACTGGATGAAAGATTTAAAATGCTCCGACAGATTAACTGGGAAACATTATCAAAAGATCAGTCTCTGAAAGAGACGGCATCGGTTTGAAACTAAGAATTCACATTCTGGGATTTATTTAGATGTGCAAGATTCTACAATTTTGTTCACTCCTCTGTTGTACCGTTTGTTCTGCAGGAGCTGTCCATTTATGTTACCAACTTGTATAATTGCGATTGCGTTTGCGACCTGAATAAAATATTTGATCTATTTTTTAGTGAAGAGGCAATTGATTTGTTTGGCTGGAAGAGTGATTCTTCTGGTCAGGCATTCGTCATGGTTGCAATTTGTTCTAATGAAATTACAAAGTGTTCGGTTGGAGTTGTTGACAATTTAAATTGTTGATTTGTCTTTTCCCGTGTGTTATTTTAGGTTTTGATTTAGATTGATTCGATCGGTAATGTGATCCTCTTTGAAAGCATTTTTGAAACCTCTGATTAAACTGGGGATATGACAAGCATTTGCACAAAGTCAAACAGTCTAAGAATGCTCAGAAGCAAGCTTTGATATCAAATTGATGCACAAATTCAAATGGAGGGAGAGAAATAGAAACATAGAGGGAGAGCAGAGGAAAGGAGGGAGAGACAGAATGAGAGAGATGGAGGGGGGGGGGTTAGAGCTATTTGAACGCCATCAAATATTCTCTCATTCATCAAGTATGCATTACAAGTGCAAGTTTAGTCTGTTTTTCTTTTCCCTTAAAGAAACCCTAACAACTTACCAATATAAAATCAATAAAGTAAAAAGATAAAGATTTCCTTCTCAAGAAAAAAACTTACAAAATTATTAAATAACACGAAAGCAACATATTTTTTTTCTAAAATAATATTTCTCATATTTTCTATCAGCTAATTAACTTCTTTACTAGTTTATTCAAGCTAATTACCAATAATTGATCAATTTGAAGCTTAAATAGTCTGAATTTGAATATTATGTCACGCCAGTTTTATGTATAACTTGATGATGACGAATTTCAAAAATTAGCAAGATACTTTTCATGCTTAACATATTAAATGATACATTATGATACATTTTCCCGTGCATTAATTCAAAATCTGAAATTATTCACTTTAATTGTAAATATTACTACAAAATTTATCTTACATCCATACATCAATACAAACGTGTGTGTGTGTGTGTTGATGCAAGTGATTTGTAATATACAAACCAAAAGTAAAATTTTAGTCATCACTAATTCAACTCCATCTAAGCCATTGAACTATGAATCATTGCTTTTACAAATCCAAAAACTCGTAATTCTATTAACAAGGGAGGATTTTGTACGCTTCAAAATTACGAGTGATCATGTAGGTTTCTAATATTCTTAGGAGATCCATGCAACATCCATCTTCCCCGCTGGTCCCAAAAAATAAAAAAAAAAAATTTCATTTTCCTCAAATAGACCTCGTTTCCCTCCACTACAGTTTCTCCATTACACCTTCGCTAAAAATTTGAACAATTTAGATCAAATTTTAACAGTACAAATTAATCTGTGCTTTAGAAACCTATCAAATCTAAATTTGACAGTCCGAATTTGTAGTGTTCTCCCCACTGCAGTGGAAAGAAGCCACTTCTCTGGGGTATAGTGTGTTTAAGAGGACCTTCATGGTTTTACAAACACCCAATACAAATTCCAAACATACTTGTTCAAACTCAGGGAACACAAACAAGCCTGTACCTTAAATACTATTTTCCCAGCAAACGCCCATGATCAAATATAAGAGTCCATAATGATGGATGCAGCTACACAACGAAGCTGTATAAGATTACACATCTGAAGCATCTGCATAGAACTGATCCTCATTGAGTTGGCATCTCATTTTTAGGAAGAACAGTTTCCTCTGAGAATATGAATCTCTCAGTGGCACCAAACAACTTGGCTAACTGCATAATTACACTCTGTGACGAAGAATCTGAAGGCAGGACAGGTGTTGGAAGAGATGGGACACATAATGGAAGGAATTCCTTCTTATTGTTGATCGGGGCATATAGTGTTAGCACTCTCTGGCAAAAGAGGAATCTGCTCCAAATAGAAAGTGAAATAAAAAATTAACTAAGACACTTGACAAAAATTCATATAATCTCCCTCAAGGGTAAACTAATAGCCAGTTTGTTTTAAGATTTTTTTTAAAAAAAAGTGATTTAATTGGACTAAACATGAGAAAGTTGTTATGCGAATTTAAACTAAACACATGAGGGATGTGTTGGGGGAAAAAACATTATTTTGATAAGCTATTTGTAATAACTTATCAAAAGAAGTAAAAATGGATAATTTTTTTTTTTCCAACAAAACCTTCATGATTAGTTTAATTTCTCCGGACAACTCGAGCGTTAAACTTAACCAAAATAATTTTTTTCTTTATTTTTCAACAAACTGGTCCTAAATCTTCTAGCAGGATTTGAAGTGTTTAAACTTCATGTTACGGAACACAGCATTTTAGTCTTGAAATTAAAAAATAGATTAGCAAGTAAGGAGTCAAATAAGTTTTCCGTCAGAATTGCAACATTGGGTCATTCATGAGCAAACTTGAGATTCCAGTAATTAGTTATTTGCTGCTTGAAAATATGAAAAATTGAAAATCATACAATTTGCTATTTATGGAATGTATTCCAGCAATTTATCTGCGATTCTGTTTACCTTTTGATTCCTCCAGTGATTCATATAGCTTAAAAGCAAATAGGATTTCAAATTACAAATTGAAATGTGGGAATATGGGAATTAGAAATAAAAAGGGGTAATTAAGGAAATTAGGGAAAAAAAGGGTAATCCGAGTATTTGGGTATATTTTATATAAATAGAGTATCTAGGGTACAGTGGAGGGTGTGAATGAAATCAGCCTCTCTTTTCGTCTATATTTCTCTTCTTCCTCTATCAAGGTATCAAAGCCATCTCTCCGGCCATGTCTCCGCTGGAGACGCAGTCCTCGACTGAACGCGCTGGCGACTTGGAACACCACTTGGAAATGCAATCCTCATTACTTCAAAGTACTCAACAGGTTCTAGACCAACACACTAACGATATATCTGAGATTAAAACTACCTTATCTTAGTTTATGAAGGAGATTTCTGATAAGCTTACTATGCTAGCCAATCAACCATTGCATTCCCCTCCACTTCAAGTCGGTGAACCCTCCTAGCCACCTTCCCAAGCACCCTCCGTCGCTCTCCCTCGACTTACAACCTCTGTCCCTCCACCCCCAATAGCAATCCCACCACCACCCCCTATCTCTCGACCAGCAACCCCTTCTGCCTCAACACCCGCTCCCCCCATTTTCACACCACCACCTCAGTTTGGGTCCTTCCAAGGTCTCCTTCCCACACCACCCAACTCAAACTCTGTTCCTACCAAGAGTAGTAGAGTCGCATTCCCCAAATTTGATAGCAATAATTTCTGAGGATGGGCTTACCGCTGTTGCCTATTTTTTGACATGGATAGAACACCCGTTGACCAGCGTATTCGTCTTCTTAGCATCCACTTGGAGAAACGTGCCCTGCATTAGCACTTAGCCTTCACTAAATAGAGGCATTTAGATGAGATATCTTGGGAAGAATACTTTCATGAAATGGAAACCAAATTTGGGGATATAAAACTGCAGATGCAAGACTTTGTTGAAGAATATGAGGAGAAATTTGATGAGTTGCTTACTAAAGTTGACTTGTCAGAGGCAACAGCCATAAATTGCTTCATCGGAGGCTTGTGCAATGACGCGCAACAGGGCGTCCTTAGTCTCCAACCAACAACACTGGCCAGTGCAATGAAGATGGCTAGACGACAACTTGCTACCATTAAAGCGATTCATGACCACGCTCCGCCTTCTACGCCGCCAACTCACATGCCTTCCTCTGGGTTCTCTTCGTTCTACTCATCTGGGTCTTCTCGTTTGCCTTCTCCATTATGATCAGGTTCCAGGTCCCACTAATGACCCAGTTACTAAGCCCATATCCACCACGAGCCCATTAGCAGATAAGTTCAAACAGACCCCATCCTTCAGCACCTCTAGTTCGGCATCCTCTAGGCCCTCAAAACAACTTTCAAAGAGTGAAATGGACGATCGAAGGCATAAGGGCTTGTGTTATTGGTGTGATGACAAATACAACAGTGCACGCGGTTGCCAAGATTCACAGGTCTTTTCCTTAATTGTTGAAGACAGAGCAGAGATATTTGCAAACACTCAAGAGAAGATGGCACTAGAACAAGTCGTATATTAGATATAGGTTTTAACTTTTCATCTTTGTACTAATCCTTGAGGACAAGGATCTCTTTTAGGGGGGAGTATATTGATACGTGGGAATATGGGAATTAGAAATAAAAAGGGATAATTAGAGAAATTAGGGATAAAAGGGTAATCTAGGTATTTGGGTATATTCTATATAAATAGAGTACCTAGAGTACAGTGGAGGGTGTGAATGAAATCAGCCTCTCTTTTCATCTATATTTCTCTTCTTCCTCTATCACAAATCATTATTACTTGATCTCAAACACTAGATAGTTCAGGTGCTACTTCCTGAATTGCTAGCGAAAAATCTTAGAGGAGAAAGCAAATCTTTTGGCCAAGCAATGAAGCCAAATACTTCAAGATATAGATAAGCATGGCTGTCCAGGGATCTGGAGATGCTTAATATCAATGTCAAGCAGCTCTAAGTGCAGAAGTGATCAACGATGAGGCTTTTATCCCTCAAAGTGATCAACGATGATGTCCAGAAGTTTTGTAAACAGATCCAGAAGTAGGATTTTCAGTTAGAAGAGGTTTCCAACTGACTAAAGACGTAGCTTGGCATGAGAATGAAGAGAAGTTAGCAAAACAGTAAGCTCTTTCACTCTCCAAACCACAAATCAATCATCAATCAACTGACATTAATCATGAAGTACAATGAATAGCGACCAGCATAATAAGAAGATTATGCTTATAGTTAAAAAAAAAAATGGAGCTCAACAAAGCATTTATTCCAAACAATAAACAATACTTTGTCAAAAATAATGCAGTTCAACAGCGTTCATTCCCAAAACAAATAAAAATAAGAGGAAACGTAAGGAAGGCCTCTCATACCTTAAAAGAAGTCGCCTTATGAAGGGATCACCTAAAATCTGTCCCCAAACAGGATTAAGCATGTCTCTTGTTGCCAAAGCCAGTCCCCAGTCGTTTAATAATGATGAAAGCAGCTTCTCAGCTTTGTTGTATGTGTCCTGACAAGGAAATTGAACTCCATAAGAGACCCCCCAAGAGGAGAAATTTCCTACCTCCAAAAATAGTAAAATGAAAAAAATAAGGTCATTTTTTAAGCACCATATCAATATCATTGCCTGAAAGACCAAGCAGCAGACAGAAAGCTTGCAGTGGAGCTGTCAGAAACATGGTGAACAGGCTCCCATGTATATATCGTGACCAATCAGCAGAAGCAATTGGGGGTAAACAACTAGGAGAAAGGAGCATAGCAACTGACTCTCCTTTCTCTTTTCCAGCTATGGCCTGCATTTGACTCTGACCAATCAATTTTCAAATGTTCTAAATGAATCCAACTTGATATTAGGATGAGAAGGAAACGATCATGATATATGAACACTTGACGTAGAGACCTAGCCCCCAATGCAATGTTTCTTCTATTAATCCAGCTTGTTTGAATGAGAAAGAACATACAATTATGATTTATGAACACTATACCTAGCCCCCAATTTGATGTTTCTTCTATTCAAGACTATTTTCAAAAGTACTTAAGACTTCACCTAGACAAGCAATTTTACCTTTCCCATTGCCTCTGATTAAAGACCGTCAAAACTTCATGTATGCAATAAAATATCCGCATGATAACAGACCCAAAATCAGTGATGATAGTGTGTTGCAATTTAACATCGACATAATTAATTTTATAACTCTTTACAGGGTTTAAACCAGTGCCATCATGTATTCCACATCAAGCTTATAATGAATATATAAATTATGTGTTTAAAATCATGTCTCACCTCTTTATGCACAATGCTTTAATTAATACATGGATAGTGTATGTGTGTAAAATCACCATGTCCCCTACATCCCACCTAATTTATGCGTAAAGCTAGCGTTTCTACACCAGCATATGTCATATTCCTAAAGTTCATTATGCATACTAAAATAGAGGTAATTCTTGCCTTGAATGCCTCACTGCTTTCACTGTCAATGACTAATAGAAGCGGTCTTCTTGTAAATGGTAGAAAGTCAGATGGATAAATGGAGTTTAATCCTGAAAAGCAATCAAGTTAAATAACATTCTAATAAGATATGACAAAATGACAGCTAAACTGAATGAAGGTTAAATAAAAGGCAATGACCAATTGATCCATTCTGTCTCAAACAATTTCCTAATTTCCAATTCTAGTTGTTACAGTTGTTGAATCTTTGAGTTTTGGCTCTTCTCTCCAACCTTCCTCAACTTATTTCAACATTAGGAAGAATGATCATATGCTCTATCCTATATATTCCAGAAAATAGTTTCCAAAAAGCCAAACACATGGTCACAATGAGACCCGTTAAGAGCTTCTGCATGGATACAACATAAAAACTACATGAAACAATTTAGAAATTCATTGCAAAGAATCACTCCATGACGAGCCCCAGTCAATAAATGGGTCAAGTTCATAGAAGAAATAGGCCCTGGGGCCAGGAATGGTACTGAAGGTAAAAGGGACAGCAGGCATATTGGAAGGGTTCAAGCACCCGAAAAGGAGAAGAGTGGGATAAGGGATTCCAATATCTAGGGTTCTGTGCCCTAGGTGATGCAAGCAACTGGTAAGGCAACAGAGAGTCCTTACCTCTCAAAAGTCAGTAAGTGTTTCCCCTGCCTTTTCCTCTATGTGCATGTCATCATGTGCCAATGCATAAAGAAAGAAACTTGTGTTGTTGCAATGCATGGTGGTGTATGGGATGTCTCTTAGAGCTCTGGTCAATAGCCAATTGATACGTGGGAATATGGGAGTTAGCAATAAAAGGGATAATTAGGGAAATTAGGTATAAAAGGGTAACTTGGGTATTTGGGTATATTCTATATAAATAGAGAATCTAGGGTACAGTGGAGGGTGTGAATGAAATCAGCCTCTCTTTTCGTCTATATTTCTCTTCTTCCTCTATCAAGGTATCAGAGCCATCTCTCCGGCCATGTCTCCGCTGGAGACGCGGTCCTCGACTGAACGCGCTGGTGACTTGGAACACCACTTGGAAATGCAATCCTCATTACTTCAAAGTACTCAACAGGTTCTAGACCAACACACTAACGATATATCTGAGATTAAAGCTACCTTATCTCACTTTATGAAGGAGATTTCTGATAAGCTTACTATGCTAGCCAATCAACCATTGCATTCCCCTCCACTTCAAGTCGGTGAACCCTCCCAGCCACCTTCCCAAGCACCCTCCGTCGCTCTCCTTTGACCTACAACCTCTGTCCCTTCGCCCCTAATAGCAATCCCACCACCACCCCCTTTCTCTCGACCAGTGACCCCTTCTGCCTCAGCACCCACTCCCCCCATTTTCACACCACCACCTCAATTTAGGTCCTTCCAAGGTCTCCTTCCCACACCACCCAACTCATACTCTGTTCCTACCAAGAGTAGCAGAGTCGCATTCCCCAAATTTGATGGCACTGATTTCCGAGGATGGGCTTACCGCTGTCGCCTATTTTTTGACGTGGATGGAACGCCCGTTGACCAGCGTATTTGTCTTCTTAACATCCACTTGGAGAAACATGCCTTGCGTTGGCACTTAGCCTTCACTAAACAGAGGCATTTGGATGAGATATCTTGGGAAGAATACTTCCGCGAAATGGAAACCAAATTTAAGGACATAAAAGATGAAAACCCCATGATTGCAATAAAGAAACTGCAAATGCAAGACTCTGTCGAAGAATATGAGGAGAAATTCGATGAGTTGCTTATTGAAGTTGACTTATCAGAGGCAGCAGCCATGAATTGCTTCATCGGAGGCTTGCGCAACGACGTGCAACAGGGCGTCCTTAGTCTCCAACCAACAACACTGGCCAGTGCAATGAAGATGGCCAGACGACAACTTGCTGCCATTAAAGCGATTCATGACCACGCTCCATCTTCTACGCCGCCGATTCACAAGCCTTCCTCTGGGTTCTCTTCGTTCTACTCATCTGGGTCTTCTCGTTTGCCTTCTCCATTATTATCGGGTTCTAGGCCTGACTTGGTTACTAAACCCATATCCACTAATGACCTAGTTACTAAGCCCATATCTACCACGAGCCCATTAGCAGATAAGTTCAAACAGACCCCATCCTCCAGCACCTCTAGTTCGGCATCCTCTAGGCCCTCAAAACAACTTTCAAAGAGTGAAATGGACGATCGAAGGCATAAGGGCTTGTGTTATTGGTGTGACGACAAATACAACAGTGCACGCGGTTGCCAAGATTCACAGGTCTTTTCCTTAATTGTTGAAGACAGAGCAGAGATATTTGCAAACACTCAAGAGAAGATGGCACTAGAACAAGTCGTATATTAGATATAGGTTTTAACTTTTCATCTTTGTACTAATCCTTGAGGACAAGGATCTCTTTTAGGGGGGAGTATATTGATACGTGGGAATATGGGAGTTAGCAATAAAAAGGGATAATTAGGGATAAAAGGATAATCTAGGTATTTAGGTATATTCTATATAAATAAGAGTATCTAGGGTACAGTGGAGGGTGTGAATGAAATCAGCCTCTCTTTTCATCTATATTTCTCTTCTTCCTCTATCACCAATGATTCAACTCATCAACATCACCAAGGATGGTTTGTGAAGGGTGTGCTATAAGATGGCATACAATGATTGGAATGACATACGGCCATTAGAGTAGGAGAATGAACAAAAATGTGAAGGGCGACTGATAACGAATTGCTACTTTCATGAGGCTTCTAATATATAATGGTAATAAAAGAAGATACTAAGATAGTTAGTTATAGTTAATTGGCACTAAGGTCTATAAATAGGAATTAAGAGTTGTATTACAGTAAAGCTTGAAACTTAAAACAATTGCACTATTCAGTCTAATTGCCCTCTATTTCACTCATCTCTCTTTCTTTGCTTCTTCTATCTCTGCCCTCCGTCCCTTCCTCCTCCTCTCTCTCTCTCTCTATCCCCAATTACATTTCCATATAGTGGTATGCCAAGGGAAGCTTGCTCTGATATCATTGTTGGATGTTGATAATTCTGATAGATCGAGAAAGAGAGGGGAGCGAGGAAGAAGAGAAATAGAAAATGGGATCAGACAGAAGAGTAGAGAGGTTTAGAGAAATTCTAAATGTTATGCTGTGTGTTCTTATCCCAGGGAATCATAATCTGATTTACACAGTAGGTAGTCTTATTTAGAATCTCCTATTCCTACCCATTCCCTTTACAGCTACTTAACAGCCACTAACCAACCTTTAACTAACTTTCATTTATTATTATAATTATAATATCATATCAAAATCATCTTGAAGAAAGGGAATAAACCATCAATGCACGATGCCTTGCATAATTCCCTGAATGCCAGAGTCTAGCAGGCATGCCAAGAATGTCAAAGATGAAGGTGGGTCTTCCTCACCATTAACCCAAGAAGAGTATGGGGGTCAATAAAAAATCCAAGAGTCAATGTGTTCTTGAAGATGACCAAAGAAATCCCACTGAGGACCATCACAGCGCACTATATCACTTCTGTTAATCATGAGTTAAAAGTCAACGGTGCAAGAAGCCTTTGTTTATGGCTACCACAACCTTTATTTGAAGACCCAAACCCTTTGCCAATCTTTGGTCAACTTTACGCAACAACACCTTACTTCCATCAGATGCAATAGGAGACGAGTTTCTTAGGAAGGTTCAACAGCATGGTCTTCATGTAACAGAATCTCTGTCGTTGTGGGTCACTTGTGTTAGTGGATTTTTATCATTGTGTATCCTTCTTTTCTTGTCGCCATCTACTCATGCTTTTCTACCTATGTCTTCCTCTAATTTTTTTATTATCATCTGTCCTCTCCTTGAGTTAAACTTGGTCCATGTTTTTTTCATTCCCTTTGTTTTTGTTTTCTCTGCTGCTATTTGCAGAAGTTGAAACGCATGATTGAGGGGTGGGGTGTTGTGGTAGAATGGATTGATTGCTTATCATGTTCTAATTTCTTCACAAGCATGGTTTTTCAGCGAATGGGGGCATATGGACATGTATCAGGTAGGAAAAGAATACTGAACATGTGGGTCTCTAACTAGGTTGGATGTTCCAGCTGTTGTGCATGTCAAAAGTCAATGGCACAACTGGTTTTCTTATGGTGGCAGGCATCACAGAAATGGTACTAGCTTCTTAAAGCAATGAGGAGGAAGAAAAAGAAATGAAGATGTAGTAGCATGGGCCCAAGGTCATTTTGCAGTGGATCAATTTATGGTTCCAAGTCCAAAAAAACTCAGACAGTCATCTCTTCACTATTCAAGAGAATTTTTCTAGATTTTAAAGCCAAAGTTCCCCTTTTTAGTTTCAGATTTGTTTGCTACCTTAATTGTACTTGACCTTGGGGGCAAGGGTCTCTTGGGAGGGGGCAGTGATATATAATTGTAATAAAAGGGAGAGAGTTAGTTTAGTTCATGGACATTTAGGTCCATAATAGGAATTAAGAGTTGTATCACAGTAGTTTGACTGTTAATACAACTGCATCATTCAGTCTTATTTCTTTTCGCTCATCTCTTCTTTCTTTCCCTGCTTCTTCCTCTCTCCTCTCTTTCTCCCTCCTCTCTCTTTCCCACTTACAATTCCATAACAGCTTCTTACTTTTTGGGAAGATACTAGCCCAGACGTGCTTATAACTACAAAATAACATCTCTGACAATTACATAATCATATCTAACTAATCAAAGCACAAGCCAGCCTAATCTTAAACAATCTATTGGCACTCAACGCAAATGAAATAAAACACTAAAATCAACATCAAACTAAAGCCAAATTATTCAATCTCCATGACTTGATTAGATTTCTGGTTCTTTCTTTCTTTTGGTTGCCCCTATATGACCAACAATTAGAAAGCAACTGTGGTTCCCAATCAGGGAAAAAAAAAAATACCCTTTCATCTCATATACGTTTAAACATAATTTAAGCGTATTTCCATGTATTAGAAAGAGTGTGAGATAGTGAACCTTCCATTTAAAGCTGTTTTAGAAAGATGCCTTGATCTTGCATATTATCTTCAAATATTACTTTCTATGAAAACAAGAAAATAAAAATAAAGAAAAAGGAAGGATGCAGAAATAGTTTATCTAAGATTTAAGTAGAGGATAGCTGAATGAGAAAATATCCATCGAACAGTAACAACTGTCACTGACTACTGAGAGTACAATGCCCTTTTGGCACTTTACATCAAAATTTCAGATTAAACAACGTTAAGAGTTTATAGTGGAATGTCACATAAAACAATTCATCTAACAACTTGATCACAAAGTTGAGCTAAATATTATCCCATAAAACTCATAAGAGCACATATATACGCAATAACAAATGCAAGGACAAAAAAAAAATCAATGAAGTAGAGCATATATAGCAGAACCAGGCAGTACAAGAACGGAAGTCTACCAAGGTATTCTCTAAGATGTACCTCCATCTCCACGCGGGCCCAAACTGTAAGCAACCAGATTCATTGTCCACAGCACCAAAAGATCCTGCGTTGGAAGTATACAATAGTGTCCACCTTTTGCTCAAGCAATTTGAAAGCATAAGAGGTAAGAAATCCTATGCTTCACAGGCTCTCATTTTGTTTACGAAATAATTAATCACCAAAACCCTTGGTGATGGACTCACACCAGCATTAAGAAAGAGAAAATATCAAGCTGTATAATCATGATGGCACTGATAGTAATATTTTAAATATCCTAACATCTATTTTTTATAGGGGGAAAAGGCTGTTATATAGTTGATCTTATATTTCAGTACTATAGGTAATTTAATAACTTTCAATTTTATATTTCCTAGTCCTTCACCAGCAATTTATCAAACGTCCAGATGAGGCTCAGAACCTCTGGCCCATTTATTTGTCCGCTGTTTAGTAGCATGTTACCTTTGAAATAACTTCTTTGGCATTTTGGCAAAAGCTAGAGCTGACTTGCTATTTTGAAAAAGTTTCTCCCAATCTGATTTATGGACTTCAGCGATAAGCCAGGAAACAATATTGTGGGAATTTGCAGTTTAAGGAAATCAATGGTTTGCTTAACTGCAGAGGAATGCCCACATCTACAAGGGCATATCCTCACCTTTAAATCTGTTATGAGATAATTGTGTGACACGGTTTCTCTTTGGTTCTTTGCACATGAGATTTTAAGGAAAACACTATTTCCTCTGCAAAGGGACCAGGATGAGTTTTACACTACCAAGTTTGATAGAAATTTTGTTAATTGGTTCAGTTTTTGAGCTTTTTCTTGTATCGTAGGTTATTGGTAGCTTTAGCTTATCATCCAACAAGATGTACTCCTCTTTCTGATAAAATTACTTCAACCATCCCCCAAAGAAATTTCTTTTTCTATATTGCAGTTAACTTTAAAGTCCTGGTTTCCCATACAGGAATGGTTGGAAGCTGGGGGAGGAATGGGCAAGGAACAAATGTAAAAGTAAAAGTGAAGGAAAGAGATAAGAGGGAAAAATGATGCTTTTTCCTTCCTTTGCTTGGTTGTTAAAATAGACAAAGAAAAGAATTAGAGGCAAGAAAATTCATTAACTCCTTGTCCCTTCCTTTCCCTTTTCTTTCCCCACTTTTGTTACCTTCACAACTTCCAACCATAATGATATGAGAAACCCAGACGCCAAATCAAAAGATAAAACAAATAAAATTTAGTTGATTTTCTTACATGATGATTACTTTTCTTAACATAAAAAAGGATTAACGTAAGGAATACAGCAACAACAACAACAAGCCTTATCCCACTAGGTGGGGTCGGTAATGTAGGGAATAATAGCCAATAAATTATTTTCTCATCATAAACCATCCAAAGTGGGTGAACTACAAACCATGAATGTTAGAGGGCTTTGAAGGATGGTTTGAAAACTCCCACTTCCCCTCAATCTTTATATGAAACTCCCAAACAAGGAGAAATTTCAACAAACCCTCCCTTTAACTCCACTACGCTTCATTTGAACTTAATTTATAATTAATGGGTACTACATAATTATCTTAAACTAATTATAGAATATCATTTTTTATATAGGTATAAATATAAATTTAACTCATGATGCTCTGTCATGCTCACCCTAAGTTTTTAAAAAATTGCAGTATCCCTGTATTGCACCATTTTTGGATACCACAAACACACTTATGCCCCTGCATCAAAGCAGACCGTCAAGAAACTTCAGTTCACAATTTTTCTACCTTTGCTTCACCCTAGAAACCCAAATTTTCAAGCTACTAAACACTAATCCCTTATTTTCTGATTTAATTAAGCTATTTAGAGAAAGAACTAAGAATGATTTTGATTTATAATGTCAGATGCACCCAGATGTAAAAACCCATTAGTCTTGAAGTATGTACAGAGCCCCACCTAAATCTTGGGCTGAAAGCTTAACTAGAGTGAGAGAATACTGGACTAAACTTGTATACTCCTGCTCAGAAAGATTCCAATATCATGTAAGGAACAAACCATCTTAAAAGCTTTAGCTGTTAGAATAATATCAAAATTAGATACTATCCTTGTATGGGAGAGATGATTAACTTTAAAGTTTGTCAAAGAATGTACTCATCTTTTTATTATTTAAATCACATGAAAATATGTGCAGAGATATTAAAGGTATAAAAACAAAGTTGCACAGAACCCCGTGAAATGTGTGACAAAAATTGAAACTACAAAAAATGATGCATGATCCCAATAAGAGGCACCAGCAGAACAACAAAAGAGCAAATACCTGAAGCTGACAAATATATTAGGAGAACACCATCAGGAGGAAGCTCCTCACAAATTGTGGCTAGAACCTGACCATAAGAAGCAAAACAGTCTAAAATTGTGATTACTTGAGAAACAAAGGAAATGGGAGATTTAATCATGAATACACCGGTATAAAGCATTCCTTATGTTAATTGCAAAGCAAGAATGGTCAAAACCATAACATTTTTCTCTTAATAGAAAAGAAAATTTACTAAGGAATAGCAGAGTTAAAAAATGAGAGAATAAAATCTTAGAAACAAGCACAATAATCAATCAAGACTAGAACAAATGGCATAGAAGCAGCCATCTTCTTTGGCGAGGCCACATTCTTAAAAAGAAGATGAGTAGGATACTGAAATGAGGACATGAACACTATCCTATCCTATCCTTTCCTACAACAACTCCAAAGGCATATTTGACAGAGTAGAAAGGAATAGAATGTAGTGGAAAATAAAGAGTGGGTGGGTGTGATGACGCATGACACTCTGAGTCCCTACTTGAAAAAAAAAAATGTAAATCACATAATGGACCATTTTTTTAATACCGTACCCTTTCCCTCCTTTCTTTTCCCTGCAACCAAACAAGGCCAGAGAGAGAGAAGACAAGTATCTCTAGTGCCATATTTTCTAACAACAACATTAGATTTTCTATTTTTTAAGTTCTAAAAGGTAATTTTGAATGCCAATTTACCAACACCAGGACTCCCTACTCAGGCCTAAAACAAATCACCCATCTAACAAGATAACATCTTTGCAATTACTGATAATCTGGGCAGCAATGCTGCTGATTATTTGAGTAGTAACGATCCATATAGGTTTCCAGAACCCAAACAACTCAAAACAGATTAAGGCGCCTCATGTGAGATTGGTGAGGAAGATCATGCACCAACCTTAAGAAATATGTGGCAATACATCAAAACTGCTACAGGGTAAATAATCTCATTATATTGATAAGAAAGGGGTAAATGAACCAAAAGTTCAACAGTCTTATTCATAGCCTTATAGGTTGCAAAATTGTATTATGAATAGAATTCTATCCAAATTAAAACCTGTAACTCCTGACATATGACATAGTAATAACTAGCAACTAATCTTCACAATACCCGGTAAGCTAATTATAGAATATAGATCAATAAATCCAAATAAATAATTAAACCAATATTAAATAATAAAATAAACCAAACCCTATCTTCCCATACTATTCCCCTCCAAGCCATTGTTATTTGTAAAAAAATTTAGGGGCATGAGTGCCAAGGAATTCACAATAAGGTGTGGTTTATTAGCACATAAAACTGATCAAAACTGCTTAAGTCATCAATTCTCCAGGAGCATGACAGTTTTGCAGATATGAGATGCCAAAGTAGCAGTGAATTAATCTTTTTAGAGGATCATTGTCCAATTACCACTATAATTACCAATTGAGTTAAATCGTACATCCACATTCAAGTTCAGTGCTTTACTTGAAAGCACCTTCCAGATCAAAGACAAGGATGAAAAACTTCCTGGGATTACTCTTGATAGTAATTCTCTAGACAAAAAGATCAAAAAGGGAGGATCATAAAAACAACAACAACAACAACAAAAAGTCTCATCCCATTAGGTGGGGTCCGCTACATGAATTGCATGACACTATTGTATTCTATCATCAATCAAGCTTTTAAAAATATTATAGTTAATTAAAAAGTCTCATTCAACAATTTCCATAAGCATTCTCTTTGATCTTCCTCTACTCCTCTTTACAGAATTCAAGATTATCCATGTCACTCTCCTTATCCCCCCACGGCCTTCTTTATAGTCTGTACACGTCCAAACCATCTCCAATGATTTTTTTACTATTTTCCCCTCAATAGAATTATAACTCAAAGTTCCAAAAGATTTATTTCTCAATCAAATAATAATAACAATCTCGCAATTGGCGATAGAATTTTTGTAGTTTACTTTAAGAGATTAACCATGTGATGAATTGACCACTTTGTATTGTTAACAGTTCTAAATGCAAAATAATTTACCAAGAATTCTTACATTGTAATTCTCCTAAATAAAATCACCACTTAACCATAACGCTTGAGACCAAATGGTAAAACTTGCTCTCATTAGGAGGAGATCCCTATCAAACTCCATCATCTTATCACATGAAGTTAATTTAACATATAAAAATGCTTTTCTTCAAAAGGCCATAAAAGGGACAAAGACTTGTGACTATTCAATTATACACAACAACAAGTCTTATCTCAATTGGTGGAGTTGACCGTATGAATTGTACAACTTCATTGTGCTCTATCATATATCAAGCATTTAGAAATGTTGTTAATTAAGAGGTCTCAGTCAACAATTTCTATAAGTACTCTCTTTTGGCCTTCATCTACCCCTTTTAACAGGGTTCAAAATTATCCATTCCATTCTCCTCACTTGTGACTACTCAATTACATATCATGGCAAAATATTAAAATGAAACAACAATTGAAAAGGAAACATAATTTCAACATATTTTTCATACTTACTGCCATATAGTTTGTAAGTGACGGACGATATAACACAGCTTTCCGTGGGTTAGTTGGTAAAGTAGGATCAACAATATCCTGTGAAAAACCAATGCGACTGGCCCCAGGAGGCCCATTCTGACTAAGTTTTGAGCTAGATTGGTAAAATGAGCCGCTAGGTTCCCACTCCAAACATTGAAGCATTCTAAATGTGTCAATAGTGAGCTCTGAAAATTTTACCTGCTTAGAAATAAAATGTCAAAAGAAAAGTAGAGAATGAAGGAAAAAATTTACAAAACGTCTCATGGGCAGTGGGGGAAAAAAATTACATCTTTAATTGTAACATTTTTCACAAATATTCTTCCTAATTATTAGAAGAAGCAAAGAAATCCTAAAGTATATTACCTCATTATGATGGAAGCTGCTCAATAGAGCATCTTGTAATTTTAGATTTCTCTTTGTGATTGCTGGAGCAACATGCAGTAGAGTATCTGGATGAGTGTCCAAAACTAGACTATATCTCAAAGGCCTGATATTCATAAAAGCTGTGTCAGCTTTCAAAAATCTGACAGCTTCTTGAACCACCAGCTTCCATTCTTTAAAGTCACTTTCCTGCCACCAAAAGTGTTTGAAGATTATTTCCAATACATCTGCGAATGTATGCTAATTAGAATAGGTTCCATAAAGCAACAGGTTATCATTCTAATTGATTGCCCAACAGTTCTGCATTGTGGATGCTCTAAAGATGCATTATTATGTAATGCTTGTGCAGCTCCATAGCTTAGTTATAAGGTTTATTGACAATAAATTAACCCAATTATCTAAATTGGTAAAATATAAAAGGTTAAGAGTCACTTTTACCTTTGAACATTTCGCTTAGGGTCTAAGAGTGTTCTAAATTCAATTTTTGGTCAATTTTGTCCTTGAACTTTAAAAATTTCACATCTCATTGTCTCGCAATTCACACATCGCTTGTTGACTATTCTCTGCTTAGCTGGACTTGTTTTGTTTACTTTTTTAGGCCACATGGCATCCAAGTGGATGTCCAGTCAAAATTAAATAAGGTCACTTTTGGCCTCAAAGTATTCTCTTAGGGACACATAGTATCCTGAACTCAATTTTTTGGGCATTTTCCCCTTAAATGTTGGAAAAAAAAAACGTGACCACGAGTGTCCTAACTTGGATGCCAAATGGCCCAAAAAAAGTCAACAAAATGCATCCAGCAAAGCAAATAATAGTCAACAAGTAACGCATAAACAGCATGTTGGATAAGAGCCTAAGTTGCCGTAGGCCATATCAAAATTAGACCTATTTTTCCTTATTTAAATAAGATCTGCTATCTGTTATTAATATCTGATTTTATCTCTTATCAGCATCTAATTTGATTTGCCAAGATTATAGGAGAGATATTAGTGATTTGTGTAGATTTTCTTCCTCTCATCTCTTCTATATATGTAAACGCTTCTTATGAATAAAATATCAGTGCTGTTCTACCCTAATTATAACATGGCATTAGAGCTTTGGTCTGTGATCAATGGCATATAGAGCAGCTCTAAAAAACCAACCACGAGTCTTCACCACAAGCGACGGCACAATATCGTTGGCCAACAAAAAGCTCACAAGGTACTGGTTTGAATGCACACAGCATGAACTCTCCCTTTAGGACGTCGAGTTCAGGGAACGATTCATTCTCGCAAGCTGTGATTGTTCATCATCTCAATGGAAACAACACCTCCAATGGTTGCGACATATTTTGATGTAAGAATCGCAAGAAATACCTCACAAAGAGTCCTCCAACAATTACAGATGCAAAGTTCGAGTCTTGGTGGGCAGAAAACAATATGGTTATGGCCTAGCTCGTGAATTCTATGACTGTCAAGATTGGCAAAAATTACCTATTGGCAACTACAGCCAAAGAAATATGGGAATTTGCAAAGCACACCTATTCACTCAAGGAGAACACGGATACCATTTTTCAAGTGAAGCAATTGCTTCGAAATCTCTTGCAAGAAGAGCAACCTGTCACTCAATATTACAGTGCTCTCATGCGGCTATGGCAACGAATTGATATTTAGGAGGTCCACGAATGGACTTGTCAGAAAGATGGGAAGTACTACCAAAAGATTGTTGATCGAGAAAGGTGCTATGAGTTTTTACTTGGACTCAATCACTCCTTTGAGGATGTTCAAGGACGTATAATGGGCATGAGGCCTTTTCCATCACTAGAAGATGCCTTTAACATGCTCAAATGTGAAGAAAGTCGAAAGATTTTGACTCACGGTCGTTCTATGCCTCCTTCTACTTCACTCAAAGGTTCTGCACTTGCTGTCAAAGGAAAAGGGAGATATGAAGGGTAAGAAGTCTAGAAGGTGTGATCGCTGCAATAAAAACGGACACACTCAAGAAACCAGCTGGAAGCTACATGGCAAGCCTCAGAATTTCAAAAAGAAAGGCAAGGGACTGTCAGTAACCTCAACAGAAGCTAAAACTGGGGGATTAAGCACTGAAGAGCTGCTGGTCTTAAGGAAAGTTTTGGAGAAACATTTTGCATCTGCTAAAATATGTGAGAATAATACTGCTTCTGTGACTATGGCACAAGCAGGTACAGCTTTAACTCAAACTCTTAATAGTATGAAAAAAATCCAACAATATTTCGATCGTCGATTCTGGGGCATCTAATCATGTAACAGGCTCTAGGAATCTGTTTTCTGAATTTAGTGAATTTTCTAAGCATGAGATTGTTGAAGTTGCAAACAGACAATATGCTAAAGTATTGGGAACTAGCACAGTGATAATCTCTGAAAATATTGTGTTGAAGGATGTGTTATATGTACCTGAGATTAAGTGCAGCTTACTGTCTGTAAAATGTGTGGCATCTCAAACTGTCTGTAAACTGATTTTCAGGACTTGGCCTTGGGGAGGATGATTGGCAATACTAAGGAGAGGAATGGGCTCTACTATATCCATGGATCTCCATCAAATAAAAGTTATGGTGTTTTTTCTATTATGTCTCATGAAGACTTGATGTTATGGCACTCTAGGTTAGGCCACCCTAGTCCACATTATTTGCAACTTTTATTTCCAAATATAAATAAAAAGTCAATTTCTGACTTTCATTGTGAGACTTGCCACTTTGTTAAACAAGTTCAAAATTCTTATCCATCCCACAAATATACACCAAGTCACTCTTTTGCTCTCATCTATAGTGATGTTTGGGGTCCATCCAAATTTTAAACAAATTCTAAAACAAGATGGTTTGTAACATTTATTGATGATCATTCTCGCTTGGCTTGGGTATTTCTAATGAAAGAAAAATCAGAAGTTTTCAATATCTTCAAAAACTTCTATGCCTTTGTTCAAAATCAATTTTAGACCTCCATAAAAATTCTTCGAAGTGACAATGGGAGGGAATATGTGAATCTAAATTTTCAAAATTTTTTGAAAAAAGAAAAGGCAAACATCATCAAACATTTTCTGTTTACTCAACTCAACAAAATGGTGTCTGAAAGAAAAAACAGACATTTACTTGAAGTGGCTAGAGCTATTATGTTTGAAAGTAATGTTTACTAACATCCCTCAAAAGATTTTTGGGTGTACAGCTTTTGTTTATAATGAGGGAGGAGGAAAATTGAATACTAAAGCCATAAAATGCATTTTCTTGGGTTATTCTTCCTGTCAAAATGGGCATGTCGGGAGGGAAGCTGGTCAGTATGCGAGGGTGCATGGTGGTTTTGGTTTTGGAGAGCTAAACAATGAAGGACACACTCTTCTTGATTTCTCATTGGCGTATGATTTTAAGATTGCCAACACTTGTTTCAAGAAGAGAGATGAGCATCTCATCACTTACAAAAGTGGAGCCTCAAGGTCACAGATTGATTTTCTTTTGGTTAGGAACGCAGATAGAAGACTTTGTAAAAATTGCAAGGTGATCCCCGGAGATGCTGTAACGACACAACATAGGGTCCTAGTCCTTGATGTGTGTATTATGAGTAAAATCCAAAAACGTCGACAAGTAGTAGCACCAAGGATTAGGTGGTAGCAATTAAAAGGTGAGAAGCAAGATATTTTCAAGCGAAATCTTTTGGATAAAGGAATTGAGAATCTCAGGGAAGTGCTAACATCATGTGGGAGGATATGGCTAAAAAGATACGGGAGGTTACAAAAGTAGTTTTGGGAGAATCAAAAGGTTCTAGTCCGAGAGATAAGGAGTCTTGGTGGTGGAATAATAGTGTACAGGACAAAATCAAATATAAGAAGAACTGTTTTAAAACCATACATTTGTGTAACAATGAGGAAAATTGGGAGAGGTACCGTATGGCTAAGAAGGAAACTAAGAGAGCTGTGGGTGAAGCTCGTTCTAAAACTTTTGAAGAATTTTATAAGAGTCTTGAGACGAAGGAAGGAGAGCGAAATATTTATAAGATTGCCAAGAGTAGGGAAAGAAAATCAAGAGATCTAGAACAGATAAGGTGTATTAAGGATGAAGAGGGAAGAACTTTAGTTACAAATGATGAAATTAAAAATAGATGGGAGACTTACTTTTCTAAACTTTTCAATGATGGAGAGGGTTCATCTAGTAACTTGGACGATTTAGTAACTAGTGAAGGAGAACAAAATTTGTCATTCTATCGAATAATACGTGATAAGGAAGTAAAGGAAGCTCTTAAGAAAATGACAAATGGTAGAGCCAACGGACCTGATTGTATATCTATCGAAGCGTGGAAATGTTTAGGTGAAGAAGGGGTGAGATGGTTAACTAAGTTATTTAATGTAATTTTACAGTCCAAGAAAATGCCTGATGAGTGGAGGAGAAGTACATTAATTCCTATTTATAAAAATAAAGGAGATATTCAGAATTGTACTAACTATAGAGGGATTAAGCTCATGAGCCACACAATGAAATTGTGGGAGAAAATAATTGAGCACAGGTTGAGATTGAAGACAAGTATTTCTGAGAATCAGTTTGGTTTTATGCCAGGTAGATCAACTACAGAGGCGATTATCTACTAAGGGGATTAATGGAAAAGTATCGTTGTAAAAATAAAGATCTACACATGGTTTTTATTGATTTGGAAAAAGCTTATGACCGTATACCAAGAGAAGTGCTTTGGAAAGCGTTAGAAAAAAAAGGGAGTACGGATTGCTTATATTAAAGCCATACAAGATATGTATGAGGGGGTAAAAACTAGTATAAGAACGCCTAGTGGTCAAACAAAGGATTTTCCTATAAAGATTGGACTACATCAGGGATCATCTCTGAGTCCTTATCTGTTCAACTTGATCTTAAATGTTTTGACAGAACATATTCAAGGGGAAATTCCAAAATGTATGCTCTTCGCGGATGATATAGTTCTTATATCAGATACAAGAGAAGAGGTTAATTGCAAACTTGAGTTATGGAGGAGGACATTGGAGTCGAAAGGTTTTCGTCTGAGTAGAAGTAAGACGGAATATTTATATTGTAAATTTGGTAAAGGACTATTCGACAATAATTTGGAAGTGAAATTGGGAGATCAAATTATACCTCAAGTGGAAAAGTTTAGATATTTGGGAGCCATTATTCAAAATGATGGCGAAATCAGTGGAGATATTTCACATAGAATTCAAGCTGGGTGGTTTAATTGGAGAACAGCTAAAGGAGTTATTTGCGATCGTAAGGTGCCTAATAAACTTAAAGGAAAGTTTTATCGCACTACTATCAAACCGGCAATGTTATATAGTAGTGAATGCTGGGCTCTAACGGGACAACAAGAGCATAAAGTTGGAGTAGCAGAGATGAGAATGTTACAATGGATGTGCGGACATACACGTAAAGATAAAATTCGAAATGAGCACATACGTGAAAAAGTGAGGGTGGCACCTATTGAGGAAAAAATGGTAGAAAATCGGTTGACATGGTTTGGGCATGTACAAAGAAGACCAAGGAAGGCACCAGTGAGAAGAGTGGAACATATAACTTTGAGTCCGATTAAGAGAGGTAGAGGAAGGTCTAAGAGAACACTTTTGGAAGTTATTGAACGCGATCTGTTAATTAATAATATTTCTAAAAGCTTGATAAATAATAGAGCACAATGGCGTCTTGCAATCCATGTAGCCGACCCCACCTAGTGGGATAAAGGCTTGTTGTTGTTGTTGTTGTTGTTGTATTCTTCCTGTCAAAAGGGTATAAATGTTTTTCTCCTGTCACCAATAAAGTATCTGTGACCATGAATGTTCACTTCCTTGAAAAACAACCCTATTACTCCAAATCACCCATTCAGGGGGAGACTACTGAGAATAAATTTGAGAATAAATGGCTGATTTGTAATGATCATCATAAATATTCCAAATCTGGACAAAAAACAGGATGTTCCCCATATATCACTAGATGACACCTTTGAACATACTGACTCCTTTGATTCTACAGCCTTACCTCAATATACTGATGTTTCACCAAGAATCAGTTCAGATCCTCACCAAACAGACTCTACAAATTCTGGAAATTCCTAAAACAGATCAGATTTTCAGGATATTAATCCTTTTGAACCTCTTAGCTGTTCCTTGATAACCTTGAAACTAGGGTGGAGGAACCTAATCATGCCAGCAAACAGAACCATAACAGAGAAAGAGCTGAACCCATTTCTGCTCCGATGCAAAGCCATGACTCCATGCCTGAGATGAGTCTTGAAGACCTACAATGGCCTATTACTCTTAGAAAAGGGAAGAGGAGTTGTACCAACATCCCATTGCAAGGTATGTTTCCTATAAGAAACTTTCTCCCTATATGAAGACATTCGTGGCGAATGTTGAACAGGTGACAATTCCTAATAGCTTTGAAGAAGCTATAACTGATCATAAATGGAAGCAGGCTATAGATGAAGAACTAAGGGCACTTTATAAGAATAAAACTTGGAAGATCACCAACTTGTCAAAGGGAAAATCTATTGTTCGCAGTAAGTGGGCTTTCACTATGAAATATAACCTTGATGTAAGTATAAACAAATATAAAGACAAATTAGTTCCAAGGGGTTTCACTCAAACCTATGGCATGGACTACCAAGAGACCTTCTCCCCTGTGGCCAAACTCAACTCAATTAAGGTCTTATTATCACTTGCTGCTAATCTAGATTGCCACTTCACCAATTGGATGTTAAAAATGTATTTCTAAATGGTGATCTAGATGAGGAAGTATACATGGAGATTCCCCTTGGTTCAAGAAATTCTGAAAACTCTCATAAAGTTTGTAGGTTGTACAAATCGATGTATGGATTAAAGCAGTCTCCAAGAGCTTGGATACAAACAATGCCAAGCAGATCACACGTTATTTGTCAAACATTGTGGAGAAAAATTAACAGTTCTTATTGTTTATGTGGATGACATCATGTTGACACGGAACGATGTCGAAGAAATCACTAAACTAGAGGGAAATTTGGCAGCAGAATTTGAGATTAAAGATCTTGGTCCATTAAGATACTTCCTGGGAATGGAACTGGCAAGAACACAAAAGGGGATTAGTGTATCACAATGAAAATACACTCTAGATTTATTAAAGGAAACAGGGATGTTGGGAGCAAGGCCTGCACACACTCCAATGGAAGTAAATCAGAAGTTGACAATTAAACCAAATGGCACAGCAGTAAACAAAGAAAGATACTATTGGTTAGTGGGAAAACTAATTTATTTGTTCCACACACGACCTGACATATGCTTTCAAGCTAGTGTTGTGAGTCAATTCTCTAGTGCTCCTCAAAAGGAACACATGATAGCAATTGACAAGATTCTTAGATACTTGAAGAAGACTCCTGGACAAGGGCTACATTTTTTGCAAAGAATGTGATCAGAAACATTGAATTATTCACTGATGTACATTGGGGAGGCTCAAAGAGTGATAGAAGATCAACTACTAGGTATTGTTCCTATGTGTGGGGAAATTTAGTGAGCTAGAGGAGTAAGAAGCAACCAGCAATGTCAAGAAGTTCAGCAGAATCTGAATACCGAGCCTTATCATTAGGAATAGGTGAAGGGATGTGGATCATTCATCTCTTGAAGGAATTGAAGATTGATCTGAATGGTCCGATTAAGGTATGGTGTGATAATATGTCAGCCATAAAGATCGCTAACAACCCTATTCAACATGACCGCATGAAGTGTGTGGAAATTGATAAACACTTCATCAAAGAAAAAATTGAAGCTAAGGTGATAGATCTATCTTACATAACCAGATTGCAGACATTATGACCAAATCCTTAACCCCAAACAAATTTAAAGGACTCAAAAGCAAGCTAGGAATGATTAACATCTATTCGCCAACTTGAGGGGGAGTGTTGGATAAGGGCATAAGGTGCTGTAGGCCCATATCAAGATTAGACCTATTTTTCCTTATTTAAATAAGATGTACTATCTATTATTAATATCTGATTTTATCTCTTATCAGCATCTGATTTGATTTCCCAAGATTATAAGAGAGATACTAGTGATTTGTGTAGATTCTCTTCCTCTCATCTCTTCTATATGTGTAAACGCTTCTTATGAATAAAATATCAGTGTTGTTCTACCCTAATTACAACACAACAAAATAACAAGGTGTCAAATTTTAAAAGTTCAAAGACAAAAATGACCCAAAATCAAGTTCAACAAACCCGCCGACCCTACATAGCAAGTTTGAGAGAAAAAATGACCCTTAACCCCAAATATAAACAGAAGCAAATGTGAAAGAAGCATCTCAGCAAAATCTAACATCTATATAGGAAGCAACATAACATGATAGCATATAGGTAAAATCATGCCTTTAATAGTATTTTTATCTACATGTTAATAACAAGGGCAAATTTGCCACAGCTTTTAGCATTTTAGTAAACAAATGTTACCCATACAGTGTAAGACAGATATGAACTCTTTAGCAAAAGAATCCTACTTTAGAACTGCATCTTCTACATTATTTCATCGTATTTAGCCAAACTAGATGTTCTTTGACTCATCAAATTAATAAACAGCCCCTATCCAAACAATCTACCTCTAAGATATAAATACATCTTAGAAGAATACTACATCAATTTAGATGGAAACACTTTAGATTTAAAGAGAAGAGTAAAAATCAGCAGATCTTAACAGGAACTTGTAAGAAAGGAAATGCATATGATAGAAGGGCTAATGCAAATTTATATTGCACACAAATTTATCATCACTTATGGTAACTACTTTTGACGCAAACATCCTGTTAACAACAGTGTAGTGATGTACAAATCAAAGATGAGAAACATGTATCAACGATCCATTAAATCACACAGAAACGTATGCGCACAGTAGAATTTTACAAACCTGGAATGTTCGCTTACATTCATCAGCTAATAATTTAATCTGATTAGCCAATTGCTGCACCATTTCTCTCCGGTTTGAAACCAAACAAACCATCAGGAACCGAGCAAGAAACCTCAATTGTTTGTTTGCAATGTTCACATCCTGAAATAATCCCTCCTTAAAATACTCCCGAGTTAATATAGCTTCATAGAATATATACGACTCAGATAGATAACTCCCATCACTTGTTCTCATGTACTGCCCAAAATATAGTTGCCCAATGCGAGATGCAATTTCACCAATCTCCCATCTCTTAAGCCCAGATTCAACCAGCTTCTGCCGATTCTCCTGTTGAAACTTCCACAACTGTGTGTAAACCTTAAAGACCTTATAAAAGTACGTGTCATACCTAAAAAGAAAGCCACTAACATATGTTAAGCCTTTCATAGATGACCAAGCATGAAGACTTCATACAGGACATCTCATTATTTATTATCATAGCAATTTGCTTTTAATCATCAAACTATAGGCACGCAATGAACAGTGATTTCTGTTCCAACTCAAAACAATAATAATAGCAGCAGCAGCAAAAACGGAATGCCAATAGATCGTTAACTTATGGTTTAATTCTCAAATTGATTATGCCAAAACTCTTAATAGTAGAACAAGTAATAAAAGTTGGCAGTTAAACATGGTAAACAAGAACAAGACAATATTGTAGTCATCCAGAGAGAAAGCACTGAAAATACAATGTTTTTTTAAAATCCAAGCTACGCAATTCGGTTATGCATCCGATTCGAGTAAGAAATCAGAAAATTAATTCAGTCCTATGATAACAGTACTTCGGTAATCAAGATTGGAAATTTTTTCCAACTGCAAATTTTCCGCGGAACTGAGAATAAGCACAAGAAAGATCACACATGAAACAGAAATGGCAACAGAGTGGCATTGAGCAATACCTGGTACGCTGGTAATAAGGCAAATCCCTGATCTTAGAGAACTTCTTGTCAGCTTTATCAACGAGAGTCCAGAACACTTCGCTTACTGGAATGTTGCTGCTACTGGTAGTGCTTTGTTGATGCGACATTTTCGAGCTCCGATGGTTACATAACGTGATCCATATTGCGAGGATCTTTAGGTGGTGAAGGCGACAGAAGCGAGGTAAAGAGAAAGCAGACGAGACCCACGGAGTGCTTCGGCGGCCAAAATCACCGGAATGTTAGAACGCGGCCTGTTGGGCTGTTGGTTCGGTGATTTGGGTAAAATCAAAGAATTTGATCGACGATTAGCCGATTATAAAAGCCGGCCTTGATCAACGTCAATATACTTGGCCCAAAAAAAAAACGCCAATATTAATTAATTAATGATAATTGTTAAATAATATTTACATATTTAAAATAATTGAGTTGGTATCCTCATTCAACCAGTAAATTATAACTTAATAACTAAAAAATTTTGATATTAATCAACTATCTATATCTCTATTAGCGTTAGATATCAAACAATCTCAATTAAAATTAAAATACTTCATTATCATTATTATTATTAATATTAATATAAAGTATAAAGTTTATTATAAAAAGTGTTATTTACGATCCATAATACTGCAAATTCATTTCTTACTTCAAAAAACTATCCATGAATTATTATTTATAAAATATAAATATTGGTTTAGTTTTGAGAATTGAGTCCAACATGCCTTAAAGGGTTTGTTAAGCGTGCCAAAAAAAATAAATCCTCAAAAGAGTAATTTAGATTAAGTGATTTTAAATTTTCAAAGTTTTTTACCACAATTTTTTTGAAATGCCAAAAGAATATAAGAAATGGGACTATGCCGAATAACACATGAAGGCCCATTATATCACAAGTACAGTTGGTGTTTTGATAGAGGAAAAAACAAAGTAAAAACTAACCTAAGAAACCTAAGCTTGGCATGAATAGAGTGAGTCATGCCAGGTAAACTTGGGTGATATTGGATTAGGATATTGAGATTTTGTGTTAGGCAAGTTGAATTAATTAAATTATTTATGTAAAATGTAAAGAAACTTTAAGTTACAGGCTCATCGCCTATTTATAGAAAAGGGTAGCAGTACACTCCTTCAATTTGAATTTTAACGCCTGAAGGGAGCAAGTAACTGTTCACACCATTAGTTAGCCAATGGTGCGCCTCATCATGTGGAGAATCATGGACAGGTGCACCTTGTTTCTCGAGTAGTGAGATGAGTGATGAGAGCAGGTTGTGAGTTCCTTAAACATGGTGTTCCATTTAGCTCTAATGAAGTAGGCTAGCTAGCTGATGGGCTCTCATCTCACATGATTGGTTTGGGCTTTGGCCAATTCTTTTGTCAGCCCCTGGCACCAAAACTAGTCCAAACAACAAAATTCATAATTACTTACTTAATTTTATTATTCATAGGCCGTAAATAATAATCTGCATGAGCCAAGGCTCCTTTTTTTTTGTTGGTCAAAAGAAGGCTTTTATTTTTTTTTTTAAATATTTCATTTGTAATCAGGAAAAATAGTTGATATGGAGCCGCACAATGGCGCTTGATTTACAACAAATTAGAAAATTTTGCATTTTGCTTGGCTCCAATGTTTAAAAAAACAAGACTTTAGAAACTTTTAAAATAATAGGAAAATTAGAGGGAGGGATCTAATACTGTTAAAATTTAATATAAAAGATCAAAGTTAATATAATTGACTATATTAACCCTTACTATAAAATCTATCAGTTATATATCTTAAAATTAAGAGTAAAAGTATATTTTTTCCTTAAAGTATTCTCCGAAATTAAAATTAAGACCAAACTATTGGTCAGAACAATTTTGCTATTAAAGTAATGAAAATAGAGTATTTTTATCGTTATTGTTAAATTCTCTAACAGTCAATGTTGGAATCTTAATTAGCATTTTCCAACTGTCAATGTAATTGAAAATTTGAAGACAATGACAAAAATGCTCTGTTTAATTATTTTAAAGATAAAGTTGTTTCAACCAATAGTTAAGATAATAGATGTTCCTCAAATAACACTTCAAAGGCAAAAATACACTTTTACTCTAAAATTAATGTTGAATACTACACAAGTTAAGAGAGTGCTCTTTTAAAAATAAGGTTGTGCAATTTTTAACTCCACATAAAAAAAATAAAAGTAGTATTAAATTTAGTTAACTTAATATAATTTAAAAAATAATTATTTTTAAATAATTGAATCAATACAATTTTAAAATCTTTACTTCTAAAAAATTAAATCAATATAATTTTTAAAAGATTTCTTTTGAATAATTATTATATTTTGTTAAGAACATCTTGTCTCACTCTATGAACTTATAGATTTTCAAAGGAGATGAAATATTAACTTCTTATATATTTTTGGACATTACTTAACTTTGTTTTAGTTATCCTAGTTGTTAAAAGAACAAAAAGAAAAGAAATAGCTTGATCACAAATAATGTGTTTTTGTTAGTAATTGTTAAATATGTATGAGATCTAGTTAGAAGGAAAAAAAATGTAAGAGATTTGATTAGGTGTAGTATAGTATTTTTAAATTTATATTTTAGTACTTGATCATTCTGAATAATTACTATTTTTAATTCTTTGATAAATATTTTTTTCATGTCCTTTGTTATAATTTTCCCTAAAATTAAACAATAATAAGACAAAAGTACCAATAAAAAAAAGGAAAAACATATTCTTTGATTCCTATAGTTTCATTGAATTTTATTTTTAGTCTTTGTAATTTTATTCAATGTTTTCAATCTCTACAAGAACTAAAATCACTAAAAAATAAAAATTATAAAGACCTGAAAAATAAAGGTCATTCAATCTTTCTGAAATTATAAGTATTAAAAACACAGAAAAAAACTATAAAGATTGAAAATAAAAGTCATATAAAGAGCAAAGGTTGTGTTTTCCATAAAAAAAATAAATTGTACCTTTTAAAATATTTCTTTTTTTATTACTATTTGTAAATTTTCAAAAAAAGAAAAATAATAAAAAACAAAAAGTAATTTCATTTTTTTTTTACTTCAAAAAGATTTGTATTCTAAACTTCCTATGCACCTCCAATCCACTCTTGTTGATAACACATCCTGTAGAAGGATGATGAATCACAATTTTTGCAATAATAAATTTATAAGAATTTTACAAAACAAAATAATATATCTAATTTAGAAAAAAATTTAAAAATTTATATTCAAACAGCTATATATTGAGAAATTATTGCATAAACCAGGTACACTATATCATCCATGCTCCATCTAATAAAAATATGACATTTATATGATTGTAAATATAAATTCATTCTATCATTAATGTAGTAAAAAGAGAAAAGACAAGAAATTAAATAAGCATTACATTCTAAAAATAAAATCATTAAAAATAATTACATATAAAATTTTATTTGATTAAATTAGTGTAATTTTATTTCACGGAACATGAATGACACGATCTGCTGGGTCCAAATAAGAATTTCTCTAGCATGCTATAAGGATAGATTATGGGTTGACTTCTAAGTTTAAATTGCAATGGATAGGTTGAGACAAGATATTGAGTTGGGGCCTTGCTTACTTTTATTTGTAAGATTTAGTTTAATTGTAGTGTCTCTATGTGTTGTTTGGCACTTTGGCTGGATTCTTTTGTGATTTTTGTTAATTAGTTGTTTTAGTTTCAAAGGGCATTATAGGAAAGAGACATGATAGAAGAGAGGGAGAGCTTACAGAGAGAGGATTGGAAAGAATAGAAGAATATTAAAGGGGAGGCAAATTTAATATGCAAATCCATTCAAAACAAGGCACACGAATAAGGATGTGTTAAAACATATTTACAAAGCTTTAACCCTTTCTAACTCCACGAATTAAAAGCTTAAAAAAATCTCATAAAAAACTCTGAAAAAAATTATATTTATTAAAAAATAATACTGAAATAAGGTAATGATAACAAAAAAAAAAATTCAAGCCTCAAATATTCTTCCTATTCCTTTTCTTGACTCCATATTTTCTCTCTCGTTTGAAAGAATTCCGAAAGAAGTAAAATTGGTGATAGCTTCAGAAACATGAGCTAAGAACTCCAACTAATCCCTATGACTTCACCTGCGCATGGCAACAAGAAGCTTTGATTTTTCTGGAGTTTGGAAATAGCAGCGCAAATGGGCTAGGTCGGGTAGGGCATCACTCTTGTCCGGTAATCTGACTCAATGTGTAGTTCAAGTCAATCCAATGCCTAACTGTTAAGGTTGGGTTTGGCCTGCCTTGAAAAAGAATTCTTTAAAAATATTTTTAAAAATTTATCTTTGAACAAAAGAAATAAAATTATTATAACTTAAAATATACTTCCTCTGTTTAAAAATATAAAGCATTTTTTGAAGAGTTGAATATTTAAAAATATAAGGCACTTTTAGTTTTTCGAGGTGTAATTAATGCTTTTTTTTAAAAGTGACCCTATTGATAATGACTTTATACTTATTATAAGGTGTTTAATATGGGTAAATATAAAAAAATAGGATTAATTGAAAAGTAGGTAACTACTTTATTAAGGATGAGATTCGATTAAAAATGTCTTACATTTTTGAATGGAGAACGTATTCTTTATAAAATTAATATTATGATTAAAAGTAATTATTTTTAAAATTACAAGTGATTGAAACTGTCAATTTATTTTTCATAATATTGTGTTAAAAATAAAATTTAAAATTTGAAAGACATTAAAAAATTAAAATGATAAGAGATATCAAAAAAGATACTAAAATTAATATAATGCAGAGTAACTCTTAATAAAAATAATATCATAAAATAAATATTTTTAATAAAAAATGATTTTACATCCGAGCCGGGTTGAGCAAGGCAAAGATTGACCCTTGCCTAACCTTATGAGCCCCAATTGCTTGGGCATACCGAGCTTTCAAGCTGCATATCAACCCTAGCTAGAACAATAATTTTTGACTCATTGTGTCTCAAACTCTTTGAGTGCGTGCCAATTGCAAGCTTTGATCTCTTGAAGGTTGGAACAACTTTTGGCTGTAGTGATGTGTATAATACTTTTTAGGCTTGCTTGATTTGTTAGGTGAGGAATTTCAAGCATATATCCTTGTTTTTAGGAGGTTGAGGTATTCACATAGTGTAGTAACCTAAACTGAGATGTCAAATTTTGGAATGAAGAAATCAATAATTATCTTGTGCTTACTTGAGTAGAGGAAATGAGGGGAGAGAAAATAGAAAGAGAGAAAATAAAGAGAAGGAAAAAGTAGAGG